ATAAATCAAATGGTGACAAAAATAACTGGTTGGTAAAATTGTTTAATAAGAAAACCTCCACAACGCCCACACAAATAAGTAATTTTTTATTGAAACGTGCGGCTGCTTGTCATCTGGGCGGATAAGGCTTATCCTCTGTAGGAATAGAAACTCAGGTTACCAGACCAGAGGATCAGAGAGCCGAGGAGAATCCAAACCGAGGTCAGAAGAACAGTCAAAGTTTGGTAAGACTGATATCCAGATATCAGTACAGAACAAACAAGACTAAGAGAGCAGACAGGGGCCAAGTAAAACTTGGAAGTCCTAAGGGCAGAAACTGGGGATGTTATGAAATGAGGCATTTTGACGTTTATTAGCTTGACTGCATATTTAATCCAGATGTCTCAAATGTCTTTCATTCTAGTAAAAATTGACATTTCAGATATTTAAAATAACATTCTTCCTATCTAAAATAAAAATTTCAGACATCTGAAATGCAATTCTTACAAGTACAAATGATGTCCCAATCATTTCAATGGGTCTTCTACTTTAAGATATCAAAAATAACATTCTTCCTATCTAAAATAAACATTATTCCTATATAGAAATGAATTCTGACGCGGATGAATTCTAATTTCAGATCTCCATAATATAGTTACTGCTAATCATAATTACTCTTTCAGAAATCAAAATAAATATAACATTACAGATGTCCAGAAATCCAATTCTTGACATCTAAAATATATTTCTGCTGGTAGAAATTTCATTACAGATATCAACTACTTATTTTATGACTATTTAAATTAGATTTCCAGATATCTCAATTTAAATAATGCATATCTAAAATTTAGTTTTAGATACTTTCAAGAATAATGACTCTCTGTTTCAACATAAAATAGGTAGGCTGACTAGTCACATTTCTATTATAGATAGCACTAAAACATTCTACCAGGTCACAATTACAATACTCCTAGTCAGAATTTTATTTTTGATATCACTAATTACATTTCTACCAGTAGAAATTAAATTTTAAGTTCCCTGAAATCAAATATGTACTATAGAACTACATTTCAGATATCTGCAAATCTTTACTTAATACAACTGGCCGTTTTAAAATATTTGTTTGTATTTAAGATATCGTAAATAGTATTCCTCATATCTAATATAAACATTTCATGTATCTGAAATGTAATCCTTACCAGGACAAATGACGTTACTTTTCCTCATTCATGTGTATTGGGCTGTTACTTTCAAATTTCCAAAATGATATTACTCCTATCTAAGATAAATATTCTGGATGTCTAACAATGAATTTCAGATATCTACAAACCTTCACTCATCATTGCCCATTTTCACTAACACTTTGTTTGCTAGACTTATTTCACTAAAGTGGCAGAAAAACTGCATACCTGATTGTTCTATTCTAAGACATTTTACACTCTAAAAACTTAAAAAAGATATTATATACATAAATAATTAACAATTTTAACTTTTTGCAGTCCACTAGTAGGTTGTGACATGTTCACATGAAGACTCATGAACTGTGAGGATCGTTGAAGCAATATGGCCAAACGGTTCAGTGCCTCATGAGGCTTCATCCCACCATCACTAGAAGAAACAGGTCAGAATCAGAAAATCAGAACAATATTCACAACACTACAGTTACTCTCACCAAACAGCTTGGATAATCTGGCACGGATGTTAGGCAAACAGGCAGCATAAATATCAGCAGGAACCAGGTGGAAAAGATGATCGCAATGAGCAGCAGGGCCAATTATACAAGTGAAAAGAGTAAATGATCATGCCAACCATCAGTGCCAAGACCATGACACTGTTAAAGTCTTAACTTTAAGTATTTGATAAAACCATGCCTAAGTATGCCTAGATAACCTTTTAGGTCCCTTGTTACAGCTCATATGAAAGTATGAGCTGGACATTACCTCACAGTTTACTTATATATCAACCTACATGTCATCTCAAGGCACTTTACATGACTGAAATTCTTTCATTTAGGATTATTTTTAAAAGGCAGAGAGATAAAAGAAATGATAATCCCTTCAGCATATAGCTATGAATGAAAATAAATGTAACTACAATGACCAATGACCACTAACTCATTTTCCAGCAAAAAAAGACAAAATATAACTTAACATATCTTACAGTTTAGAGAAAAACACCAGTTAATGTGCTGGTAAAGCCTTCAAAAAGCACATATAAGAAGCAAACAGCTGTTGCCACCCATTACAATGTATTATCAATGTTGATATTTGCAGATTTTCAAATCTTACTTCATTAAATGTTTCATTTATATCTCAACTTTTGAAGCAAACTATGTTAGACCAAAAAATATATATATTCAGCATATATATTTTCTTTTGCAGTCCATGTCTATGCTTAGGAAAAAACAAACAAACAGAAGAAAGCAAATAGTTAATATTCCATGATTGCAAGCCTCTTTCTGGTCCATGTGCACGGACTGTGTGTGTAAAAATGTGTTTAAGGCCCAAAAGAGGTGTTTAGTATGTCAGTTAATGAGTATCAATATAAATGTAGAGCCAGAGGTTCCAGAACTTAGCTCCATTAAAAAAATAACACTTATTGTTGTCTCTGTTTTGTTTGAGGATGTTTTGTTAATCGGCCTCTCAAGCTCATTTGTCCTTGTGTTAACTCGAACACGTCAAACCAGCCCATGTGCATTTCTCATAGTTTCTGTGATGCATACAATGGGCCACGAATTTCTTGGGGCGGCCCCATCGACAAGCACCACATTCATGATGGCAAAGTTCTGGCGAGTCTTGTTCCACTTTTGTCGTTCTTATAATATCGGGAGATACTCTTTAACTTACTTTTTCCAGAATGCTTTAAGGCTAGGGTTAGGAGCTCCATCACGTAATGTCTGATGTCCTCAGCTATCGCCTCTTTCATATCTTTAATTCTGAGATTCCATCTTCGCTAATAGCTCTCCTGCTCTCTGAATTTTTCTTGGAGTCATTATTTTCTGTCTTCACCTGCTGCAGTTCTCTCTCTAACACCATCACCGTAGCTTTGTAGTCTTTTATTTCCACAGAATCGAACTTGGATGCTTTAGCTAGGCTAACATGCTGCAGGTCTGCGTTAACTTTGTATTACGCACCTCCAGGTGTTTTTCTTTATTTTCAAGCTTTGTGGATAACATGCTGATATCAGCTAGAATAGCTACACGGCATTGTGAAGTCTTTTTGATCTGAGTGAGAAAGTAGGTTTGTCTGAGGACTAAAGACAGGCACATTTCCGGCTATACATACAGAAACTTTCAATGTGGGGTAAAACAAAAACCAGCACTGACCAAAATAACAATAAAGTTTAAATTTACCTGTTCATTAAATGTTGGCAGATGGCCAGGTCTTTAGTTTGCTGAATTATTTTTCTTAAAATCAAAGCAAAATTCTTCATAAAATGTTTTAATTTTGTCAAGACTATCAAGCAAAAGAATATTTTCATCCAAATGCCGCATTAGCAGCCGTTACATGACGGCGTGGCCTAAACTAAACACCAACCAGTTAATGCTCCAATCAGAGAACATAAATATGTTCACAAGCTACACTGGCAATGTTATTTTACTGCTGTTTATTTTTAATACAACACCCACACTATTGAATTAACTTTACACCTAAGATTTTAAAACTGGCATTTTTACTCTGTAAATAATGGGGAAAAGGATATGGCTAAATACAGGAAAATACATTTAATTTGTTTTTGTTGTTTTGTTTTGAATGGAAAGGACCTTAGGTAGATGTGGAGGCTGAACCTCTAGAGGAACGTCAATATTTATGTGTGGAGATGTCACTTCTTTTATTCTTATTTGCATCTCTTTTGTTGAACTTATTTCTAGCACAGAGCCTAGCATTTTTGGTTGAATAAATAAGAGGATCTTTTCTTTTCCAGTCCTTTACCCTAGTCTGAAAAGTTTGGTTTTAAGTCTTTCAAAGGTTGTCAATAACAGAGGGACACTATTTGAACTCACATCTTTGTGCTTTGGTATAAGACATTTTGGGTTTATATGGGAATCAATAGACTGATAAATGCAAGGGAGAAGGTTGGAGATAAAATAAATAAATAAATAAATAAATAAACATAGATGGATCATTTGTGTTCTCCTTTCAGAAAAACGTTACCTGAAAATTGAAGCACGGTGTGCTGTTAAAGAATCTCATTCCACAATGGAGGTAAACAGCATTTTTTTTAAAGAAAGAATTATGAACAATACTGTACCTATTATTAGACTAAAAACATATTTATATTCATATATTTATTCTAAGATAAAAAACAGGACAGAAGATCAATTTTTGGAGGTTTACTGTGAAGAAGAAGATAATCCTGCAGCCCGGACATGTGCTGACTGTGTAGCTGAGAATCATTGTAATAGTACATATGGTAAAGGTCAGTGTAATCAATTAAAAAAAAAAAAAATAATAATATATATATATATATATATATATATATATATATATATATATATATATATATATATGTGTCTTCATGTTGTAATATAATTGTTTTTCTACTTTGTTCTTTTACCCTCAAAGCTCTTTGTCACCATGTGAAGACAACAGAGTGTAGCATCAGCAATGAGTTAGTATCTCAGCATCTGGAGACTCCTGTTGGGCCATTGGACAGCTATATCCAGATCAACACCAGTGAATCAACTGAAGTCAGCAGTCAAAATATTCATGAACATGGAAAAAGTAAGGATTATATGTTCCTGCATCATATAAGTTGATTGAAAAGCAAAACGTATATTTTTAATTTTGCACTAAACATATATTTGTCAATTTAAATGCAGGAAGAGATCCATAGTAATTCACCCAGTCTGCACTTTATCTTTCTTGAAAATAGAGAACAAGGAAATCATAGCAGCCCTAATAGCTCAATGTTCCGCCCTGTTCTAACTGGGCAAGGTTTATCTCTCTTACTTTAAGTCTGCAAAGGTGAGCTGTGAAGGTTTTTTCCACAGAGTTAACCAAAACAAGTTACAAACATTTTAGGAAACAGTTCATTTATTAAATAAACCTTGAAGAGAAAAAGTTTGGTCTCTTATGGGAACTATTACTTTTTGTCCCAAAAAAACCCTAATAGTAAATCAACAACTCCTCTCAGATACTGTGGGGCATTTCAGGTGAGAAAGGCTTAAGTGAATTCTATAAAGCAAGTACATGCTAAATCAGAACTTTTTTTTTTCCCTGTTCACCTAACCAGAAGGTTTGTCCCCAGTTTGTGCTGTAGAACTAGAAACGCAAATGGTTAGAACTAATGTCTGAGCAGGCTTTTTACTTTCTTCACCTGGATTTTCGACCTTTGCTCATTTCTATCTATAATTTGAAATTCTCTGTTTTCTGATTTTTTCATTCTCTCCTGAGAAAAGACCACTCTGGACAACTCTTTAACTAATACTTCTTAATGTATTAAATAACCATGAGACGTGACTCACTTCTTCATGAAGTCGGCCCAGAGTCACAGTTAAAAAAGCATTTTATAAAACTCCAGCATCACACCCTGCCACGTCCTCACATGCCACATTACATCATATACGTTTGCAAATGTGGAAACATCCCTGGTTTTCTTAGATCAAGGCCATTCCACATGCCCTGTGACAGCTAGCTCGCTGTTAAGACTCATTCATTCTGTCTGTATATTCTCATTTAATTTCCAAATCTTTGTTATGTACATAATCAACATTGTAACTTTATATCCTGACAAAAAGTGTCCTAATTACATAAACTGCTTTACATTAGTTTAGGCACGCAACAAGCAGGTATTATTGGGAATTTATGGAAACACATTACTAATAAAAGTAATCCTAACAATATATACCCACTCCCTTTGCTAAACAGATAGTACAATCTCTGGTTTTGAGCTATTTCGAGTTCTGATCGTTATTTGGTCATATGCCTAACAGGCTGAGTTTACAAGCTCCAGCTGGCCCAAAATAGGGTGGCCAGCAGTGGCAGCTGGCCCATAGGGGTCGCTTGAGCACTGTCCTCCCTAGATGTGGAGGAGAAAAGTCATAATACACTGCTCAAAAAAATTAAAGATCACTTTGAAAACACATCAGATCTCAGTGGGGGAAAAAATCATGCTTTTTATTTATACCAATATGGACTGGGTGATGTGTTAGGAACAAAAGGATGCCACATTATTTGATGGAAATTAATTTTATCAACCTACAGAGGGCTGAATTCAAAGACACCCAAAAAATTACAGTAAAAAAATGATGTGGCAGGCTAGTCTGTTTTATTGAAATTTCATTGCAGCAACTCAAAATGGTATTCAGTAATTTTTATGCCCCCCACATGCGTGTATGCATGCCTGATAATCTTCGGGGCATGCTCCTAATGAGACGACAAATGGCGTCCTGGGGTATCTCCTCCCAGATCTGGACCAGAGCATCACTGAGCTCCTGGACAGTCTGAGGTGCAATCTAGCAGCATCGGATGGATCGAAACATAATGTCCCAGAGGTGTTCTATTGGATTTAGATCAGGCAAGCGTTGGGGCCAATCAATGGTATCAATTCCTTCATCCTCCAGGAACTGCCTGCATACTCTCGCCACATGAGGCCGGGCATTGTTGTCCAACAGGAGGAACCCCAGACCCACTGCACCAGCATAGGGTCTGACAATGGGTGCAAGGATTTCATCCTGATACCTAATGGCAGTCAGGGTGCCGTTGTCTAGCCTGTATAGGTCATTGCGTCCCTCCATAGATGTGCCTTACCAGACCATCACTGACCCAGAACCAATCTGGTCATGCTGAACGATGTTACAGGTTTTCCACGGCTTCTCCAGACTCTTTCACGTATCTCACATGTGCTCAGGGTGAACCTGTTCTCATCTGTGAAAAGCACAAGGCACCAGTGGCGGACTTGCCATTTCCGGGGAGTGAGCACAGGGCCCACTAGAGGACATCAGGCCCTCAGGACACCCATATGAAGTCTGTTTATGATTGTTTGGTCAGAGACATTCACACCAGTGGCCTGCTGGAGGCAATTTTGTAGGGCTCTGGCAGTGCTCCTCCTGCTCCTCCTTGCACAAAGGAGCAGATACCGGTCCTGCTGATGGGTTATAGACCTTCTACAGCTCTGTCCAGTTCTCCTGGAGTAACTGCCTGTCTCCTGGAATCTCCTCCATGCTCTTGAGATTGTGCTGGGAGACACAGCAAACCTTCTGGCAATGGCACGTATTGATGTGCCATCCTGGAGGAGTTGGACTGCCTGTGCAACCTCTGTAGCACCTCATGCTAACAGTAGTGACAGTGACCCTAGCCAAATGCAAAACTGGTGAAAAGGAGTAAGAAAAGATAAGGAGGGGAAAAAATGTCAGTGGCCTTCACCTGGAAAACCATTCCTGTTTCGATGGTCATCTTGTTGTTGCCCCTCTTGTGCAACTGTTGTTAATTTTATTGAAACTGATTCAACCCCCTCTGCTCCTTACCTGACCAAATCAATATCCCAGAAGTTTAATTAACTTGATGCTATACTCTGATTACAAAGTCTTCCTTTAATTTTTTTGAGCAGTGTATATATAGACTGAAAGTACTATCAGTGTCAGTTTAACTTAATAGTATGTGATTACATGTAATATAAATTATTAAAACAACAATTGACAGTGCATTTTCACCGGCAGAATGTATAATTTCTCTTCTTGGGCACTCATCCAAAGTGCCCCTGAAGTGTAGCAAAATAACCAATTGTATAATGGTGCTAGGGAAAATTAATAAATATTTGGTCAATCAGCATGGCAAAAATTTATGTCTTTGGGGCTCCTGGAATTTTCGCCCCCGTTACAGTGAAATAGGTGATGTAGCTACTAGTCAGTCAGAAATTAAGTAGAGATTTGAGCCACAAGTCCTTTTTCAAATATCAGGATCTGACCCAGTATGGATAAAGACATGTAGGACTACAAATACAAAGTTGATTAAGAGCTTCTACGTTATTAAACTCTTACATTATTTTTTAAGGTTTGTGACAACACATTGGACCATGCAAAACACAGATTTATCTTCACAAAGCCTCAGAAGGGCAACATTTATATGCAAAAAGAAAACCTGCTGATAAAATTCTGTTTTTTTTGTTTTTTTTTTGTTTAAAGTGTTTTAAATTGTTTTTTGTTGCTGTTATTCATATAAATATACTGGTGTGATAACGTAGTATACGTTTGATTGGTTCTTGGTTTACATCTATTTCGAATTAATAGCCACCTACGGAGGAATCTGCACCAGCCGCCACTAGTGGCCAGAGTTATCCCTCCATGCTAACAAAGAACTAATGTGGTGTCAATGCATAGATACCTGTCATGGTATCTGTTACAAATTAAATTAAATTAAATTAAGGTTTCTTTTATTTTTATGTAATGCTCTCCATATGAAATTGCCCTCATTCTTTGATAAATGATATATATCGATAGATATTATACCCCCAGCTGTTATTCACATTAAAATCCATCATATTTGCTAAATTTAACCCTAAGCTTAAATTTTTAGCTTTAGATACAGATTATGTAGCTTTGATTATTTTCTGATACAGATATTGATAGCATAATGAATAATGTATCATAGATCTACTAGTCATTCTATAGTGTGTAATGTTAGAAAAGGCTTGACGAAGTGATATTGTTCAAACAGACCACAATAGGCAACAACTGAACAACTGTCACATTTATTATTAGCCAACGAGTTACTTAAACTTTAATCAGAAGGGGATGGAAGCAGAGTTTTTTTTAATCAGCTAGCTAATATAGGAGGTGTTACATTGAGGCCAATATATTCAGATATGTGTGAGGGGTTTTGGCTTATATCACACTAATTTCTGATAGAAATTTCATATTGACACATTCCTGGTAAACTTAACAATTGTTAGCATACCAATTCTGCCATATTCAATAATAATAAATAGATCAGTAAATAAATAATCCCTTGGCCAAGTCAGAAATGTTAATTAGTAGGTAATTTAAGTGAACACATATAAAATATGAAATTAATTTAGTAATTATAATTTACGGAGGTATAAATACATATTTATTTTTCTATCTCTAAACGTTTATGCTCATATTTAAAGGGGAACATAATTTTTTTTTTTTACATTGGGCCCTTGATTTTAGGTTATTACATCCTGTTCTACTCACCATATAAGTTTTGTGTCATTTGGAGACGTTCTGAAGATATTCGGTTAGGTTATATCCAAGTAACTTCTTCCTATGGGCAACGACTTGAAGGCACAAACTAAACTGTTCGTAATTCATTCTTTATGGTACGCCAGCATTCATAACATGTAGGCGAATCACTGTCCCCCAGACATCCATGGATATATTTTTTATATTTCTGTTTTAAAAACAAAGCGGTGTGTGTGTCTGACGCAATCGGCACACTGGACTGAAGTCGTAACAGGAAG